GGGCGTCGCAGAGGATGATCTCCTCAGCCACCACGATGGACTATCAGCAGTGGCGTTGGTATCGCACTCGCACCGTGCTTCTCGGAGCTTCATCCACCCCCACTCCCGGCGCATGCAAGCGCATCACGTTCAACCAGTCCCCGAGTTAGATCCCTCCAGCCCCGAGTCCTCATCATCTCCAGGGTCCGAGTCTCCACGCACACCATCCACACGCGCAACATCTCCCATCTACCCTCCCACACATAAAGGCGCACAGCCCCAGCACTCGAGTAAGACCCTGGAGATCCTACGGTCGTTCCCCTTCATCCCACTGCCTACTGCGGCGCACCACAGCCACAGCGGGCGACAGGAGTCGCACGTGCAACGGCCAATTCACGTTCGAGTGTAGGCGCCCCTCTATCGCCGCCTTTGCCTTCGTTCCCTCCATCCATCTTTCTTCTGCACTTCGTCCTCGTATTTCGGTCTCTCATGTTTTGTCAAAAGGTCTTGCTGGACGGACACCGGCATTCAGTAATATATCCGATGTTTTTTTATCTCAGCATCTGCGCTCCCACCCATCCATCTTCTTGACCTGAGCGCTTTCGATCGCGTTTCAGGCTGTTTTAACACTAGTCACATATGCCTTATCTTATTTGTTCTTCTCTTAACCATCAGCATCACTTCATCATCGACAACCAACAACCCACCACTTGCATTATCTCATTCCTCATACAACTTCATTGCATCGTACTAGCATAATAGGTTTTCATCCCTTACTCGCTCACTGCCTTACAATATCGGTTTCGTATTGTACTCTTGCATATATTACCGAGCTCCATCCTACTACGAGTTTCAAATGCCAGAAACCTCTTTTGAGCTATCACAGGCGCCGGCGAGGCAGATTCAAATTAAAAGTGTGATTCAACTTTAACATCTGACAGTGCATATGCTCACTGACAGGAGCTTCATGCATTGCCACGTAAGTATGCATACGCGCATTGCCACGTCGACGGGGCACGCTGAGTCGTTGCCAGCACCGTCACCACGCCATGCCTCTCAACGCGTTGAATTGAAATTTCTCCGTGACGAGGTCCGCTGCCCGGCTGATAGGGCAAATGAGTCAACCGTCGTCACCGACATTTTTTCACAGTGCAAAATCCCGCGTAGATTGCGGGTGATAATCGCACAAGTCAACACGATCGCGTAGTAATTCAAATGTATTACTGACTCCGAACTCGTCATCGACGCAACGCACCCCGACCCACCCGCCAATGTAATCAAAAAATGTATAATCGCTATCACACCCACAAGTAAGGCACGTTGACGAATCCAGCCGGCACTAAGCCTTCCACAGACAAGGTTTAACGAGTGAACACAAGGCGATCTAGACTAACACCCCCAGACCAATGCAGCCGTAATCTATTGAGTAAGAGCACTCTATACATATCAGAGTCACTGTCGGAACAGGGCGTCGAGGTGGCCCGATTTCGCAATTGAATGAAATGTATGCACCGGAACACGTGAGTCAACACGAATGTGAAGGGCCCCGGAGCACCCGAGTCGTGCTGGTTCGGTAGCGTGCGTCATCGAAATATGTTTTCCTGTCCATTCCGGGCCCCGATCACTCCTCGATCACTCGTCGGGGAGCGCAGCGCGCTTTTTTACTGCGTCGTACCATGTCAAGGACTGCGCGCGCCTGTGCCGCTCGTACGACGTGTTCAAATCTCGCTAGGCACTCCGTGTGATGCGTATCTACGCGCACGCATGCACAGTTCGTGCTTGCCGGTGACCCCACTTTCCGCCCGGTCCTTGAAAAAGAAAGGTGTGCTTCGTGCCACTAAATACGGAGATCGGGTATGAACGGTACCCAAGGAAGTCTCAATTCCACAAAGGTCGGAACGCCTTCCGGCTTCTTCTCGCATTGTGGCCAACTGCGCTTGGTTCGTGGAAATCCAGAGGTCATCATATAAGGACGGCTCTTGCTTACCGGGACGGCTCTCGTTCTCAGCCTACTTGACTAATGACCTACAGAACCCAGGATTACATCATCATTTGTACCCTTCCAAGGCTCGCGGGGTGGAAAGCTCGCTATCATTTCTCCCATCGCACGTCCAAGAAAGAATGCTCTGACTCTCAAGTCGCTTGCTCCACAGACGTCATCATCAATTCATCGAGGCCTTCGAATTGTCTTTTTCATATCTCTCGTTCATTTCCCCACAGCCCCCATCGAAATCATCGATATCACTTGCTCGTCACGCGCCCTGAATCTCTGCAATGACAAGACTAGTTCACATCCATTTAAGGCAGTCCGCACACCCTCCCGCCTTGGCTCCAATGCTCGGCAATGCTCTTGGGACCTGGCAACTCAAACACACACACCCATACTAGTGCGTCTTTGGTGCGTGTCATAGTACCCCTCGCGTTTGGTCGAAAGATGGATAGATGGCGTTGCATTCAACTTGCCGGAACTTTGCTTCTAACTCGCGCGTTAAGCTAAATCCAGGCACCACTGCCCCGCACACCTCCCACGACATGAGAATCGGATTCGGAGGTGAAGGGGAGAAAGAGGCTGGAGCAGCCTTGAGGGCCGCATACCAGGGAGCCTTCGAATTCCGCTCACCACGCCGGGATTTGCCTGTCTCGTCCCGTCTTCAGCGCACGACCCGCACCATCCGTGTGGGCTCCCGTGGACTTGTGGAGAACTATGCCATGGTGATCAAGGAACGCTCTACGGCAGTTCGCATCATGATGCCGATAGAAGTGGCAGGCATGGTTGCGGCGAGGCTTCTTCTTTGATACACTAGAATAGTAAGTGCTGTTATAGACGCTGAATGCCCTTAGGGGCTGCGACAACTGATGAATCCATGCACAGGCATGATCATATCCACCAAATGCTAAGACAGCTTTCCTCGTGTATGTCAGGCCTCCTAGCTCCTAAGTTGGCGCTGCTAGACCCTATGCCCTGCAGCGTGTCTGTGCCGCACTTAGCCTATAGCGTCTAAAGTAGTTATGTACTAGTTACGTGAATTGACTCTTCACTTAATTTCTCTGAATGAATCATTTGAATACGTGAGGAGATAGTACGGACATTCCGTTCTGTCAGTTCACATCTCATCTACATAGATTAGATTAGATCAAAGGCATGGACGCGTTGACGCGTCACGATCACGTTCAGGTTCGGATTGGGCCAGCTGTTATTTGGCCAACCAAACAATAGCTGTTGGCAGACTGCATCGCCACATGTCGTTTCTCTGACCCGTACCAATGAACATTCCCAAAACTTCGGTGAAATTGGCGGTGCTTTTCGATCGCCAGCTCGCCCGGTTTCCGCAAGAATTCAGCTTGCTTCCAACCGACAAAACGATTTTCCACGTATTGCTACTGTGGATACCTCGGCGAAACACAGTCGTACAATTTCTTAGAATCGAGGGCCGTGGTTACCCCGCGGGTTACACGAGCGCATCAAGGAATATCGCTCGGACCGGGCTGACCGTGACGGCGGTCATTCAAACAGGTACTTTGCTCATTGATATCGTATCGATGTGTCCAACCCTGCTCAGCCAGCTTGCCCCCCACAAAGACCCTAACAACTATGTTATCAATCTCTGTCCCCGACAGCGCCCAGCTTCAGTCAGCTGCGGCTCGATTACCAGAGTTATTGACTTGTTCTGCTGCGTTTCAACTTTCTGTCGCCCTTCAAGTTACTCGGACGAGTTGGGCTGGCTAACCTTACAACGAAAATCACAGCGTGGATATCGGAGTGTCCACCTTGAAGGAGCCCATCACGAGATGAGCGCTCATTGTGTGCCTAGTTATGTCCGAGTGCCTCTCGGGATGCTGATTGGCACACCACGATAATAGACTTTCAGCCGCTGCAGTGCTAATGGCCGACGCCAGCTCCGCTCCTAGCCGTGCGCAAGCTGATCCATCTCTGCGGCACCCAGTGAGCTAACCTTCCGCAGCCAACAAAATGCCGTCGGCCCTTGGTTTGAGTTCTGCGGGCGCCGTGCACAGACGTGTGTAGAGATGCTTTACTGTAGCTCATACGACGACACGAAACAAATAGTATGGTGACAACCGGACCCGAAGATTTAATCAGCACTACGTTCGGGGACAGCCCGCTCTCTGTACGGTGTTGCTTTTCCGTATGTCAGCTGTGTCATCGGCGCGCCCGGGTGTCTTCAACCTCAACATACATCAAGCTCATCTTCCTGGTTAGTCTCATCCCCCCACCATCCCCGGGCTTCTGGTCTCCTCTACAGGCATCTTGCATTACCGGCGAGTACGTACGGTGTTAATCTCGCAGTTATTTTCGGGCCACTAATTGTACCGTGCGGTCCAGATGTCGAAAGCATGTCTTCTAAAGCATTAGGTGATGGTGGCGGTGTCCCGAAAACATCGTTGTGGAGATTTCCTATTATAGGGTGACATGTCAAAAATGTCACCTGTTCGCGTTCGGCTGTGATGACAGGTGTACTTCAACTACTTACACTAGAAGCTGAACCTGACGGTGCAAATGTAATGATTAGCGTCAAGGCCTGGTTCGGACTGGGTACGTTGTCCTAACCGAATGTCTAATGCTCTACTTGAACTGACAGAGGAAATGATTTAACTAGACGAACATGTTCTAATTCGTGGCTTTGGTCAATTAGCTGATCCGCAGGACACGCTAAATGCTTTGGAGCCGGTTTTGTCGAGCTAGTCTGTTGTACTTTGTCATCTACTGTAAACAACCTGTAAATGCCAGCGATCATGTTTCAAGTTAGGAAGGTTCAATGGGTTGCTTATAGCGTTGGTTTGCTAGCGACACAAATTAAGGTCCTCTGGATCATATTCCTCAAGATTATATATTCCGAAGCGAAACATGTATGCTTCAACATCTTTCGCGGTAACTTATTATAACCTACAAGCAGCGTTCATATTACATATTTCTGCATCTCAGATAGAATTGGAAGAAGTTGTCTCTTACAGGACAATGTTAGGCTTAGCTCAAGTGGGACAGCATTGAGACCATTATCACGGCCCGCCTAGCTCAATCGGCCAGAGCGTCAGACTTTTACGAAGGGTACAACCTTTCATGATCAACCCATCTGAAGGCTGCGGGTTCGACTCCCGCGGTGGGCTACAGGATATATCGTATGACACTGAAGTCAGCTTTTTCGGCGCATGTCGAGTGTGGCGTCACGCCACAATGAATTCACTCCGACTACTCATGTCCGCCCGCCTAGCTCAATCGGATAGAGCGTCAGAATCTTACCTATTTGATGACTGAAATGCTGCCAGTTCGAACCACATGGTGGGCTATGAGGCTATCGAGCTATCGGAATGCAATTCACCCGTCGGATCAAACCAATTAGCGTTCGTTCTGCTTCGGCTTCTCCCACAGCGATGATTTTTCATAGACGCAGCTCTCTCATCTCACAGGGCAGTTGCTACGTCGCTTGTCGATATGTCCTTTCGCCGTTGCCCGGTTCTTGACTCTTTTCAAGAGCGATGACAGATGCATTGGACGAGATTTGTGCATGGACCGCAGGCCATGCGCTCCATCAATGTTCAACACAAACATTACTTTAGTATAATGAATTTTATGTGGATTCAATGTCTTCCCAGTTTGTAGGAACCCAATATCCCAGGCATTATCGTGACATATACGATTAGTCCGTCTGGGTGACGATGTACATCGAATACCAATCAGGTTTTGCAGCTAGCTTGAATTCTACTATTTAATGCCTAGTAGGTACGATTTTGCATGCATCTCATTCTGGATAATGCTCGGTCAAATTTCCTCGATGTCGTTAGGAAGATGGCTAGCAGACTGTCAGTAATTCCATACTCGCGCCGGAGTGGCACGCCTTCGGCGCCGTTCTTGTTGCGGGGCCTGAGAACGTATCCGCACTTACGCACAGCACCTTCTGCTCCACATCTACCGGCCCAGCCATTGGATACTTAATAGTCTTCCTCTGTAGCTGGAGCGTTTCCGACGGTCTCCCCCCATGTGAATTTGTTTTGATATGATCCATGACGCGGTTGTTGCAGGAACAACAGTGCTTCTACCCACCTTCTACTTCGAATTCTTCAGGCATAAACACATAAAAAATCAGCTACCCATTGGGGCTATGAGGGGTCATGAAATCGCTCAGGTTAATGCCAAACTCCCGCTGGTACAACTTTGAGACTTCGTGACTACGTTAAATAGGCAGGGAATTTGCACCTCAATCATTGGATCCACTATCTTGACTATGAGATGGGCGCTTCTCAAGGGGGTGTTATGGTACTTACAGGCAGAATAGGTTCGAGATCTTCCGGACGAGGCTAATCGTCGAGTCACCGGAATCTCTCCTGGGCGGGATATTTCTATGTGGCTCGAGAGGTGATCTCTCGAGAACAGAGTGCAAAATATCACGGGCGGAGTTCTGTGTCTCGTTGAAGCGAAACATACGAGACTCGTTGTTGAGCATCCATTTCCAGTAGTCCTCTTTCAGGGAGCCTTCAAAATCGCTCCCCACGGCCTCAGGAAGATCCGACCACATCGTCGTTGCAAGGACTACGCGTCTTGTCCAATTCCTCCCACACAGCTCTTCAAACAGTTTGTTGAACGAACCAGTCTTTGGTGCTCGATTTCGTTTGATATCTACGAGATGAATAACACCAGCTACTTTTGTATTAGAACCGTAGCTGACTGGGTGGTAAGCACGAGGATGACATGTGGTGCAGCAAGACAGTAATCACGATTGAGTTACCCAAGAAGTGATTCGTTCATGGACCTCTTGATCATCAAGAAAGGTTCCGTCGAAGCCTGGCGTGTCCAGCAACACGATACGGCGGCCAGGCAAACTTTCGTCGAAGAAATAGTAGTGGTATGCATTTGCTGTGTGTGACGCCATGGCATGGCCGACAGAGGCGACAACTTCACCGACGCAGGCATTAACGAACTGAAACAACCTGAGTTCTTGAGTATGTACGAGGAGATTGAACGAACCGTGCTCTTTCCTGAGCCTGTAAGGCCAACAATGCTGATATTAGGCCATAAGTAGATGCCCAAGCAACGAATGAGAAGACTTACACGACAAGAATGTCAGTAGGGCTGGGATCTGCTAGGGCGGGTGCTCGTTCTGATCTCCCAGGATGAGAGGACCTCTTCGCACTCCTAGCGAGTGTCATTCTGTTGGATCAAGACTTCAAAGGGCCGAAGTTCGAGGGACTTCGACGAGCAAAGACTGAGTACAAAGGGAAGCCTGTGGAGCCTTCTGAGCGATGGCAGTCTTTTGTAGTCGAGCCGTGGGCGTACTATTTTCATATTTGGCGAGGTCGTGGTGGTAGCAAGGTAGAGCTGTGATGTCCAAACTTGATTCAGAATCTGGACGGGACGACTGGTGCCCAGCTCGGCCTTCGCCGCAATATTTCACAGCCCAAGTGACCACAGAGTTGACTTGCCTCCACCGTCTTCGAGGTGTTAGGATATCCTCGATATACAGTATGCTGCATATTTTATGCTAACCGAACAATATTTTGGCCTTCAATGTAAATCCCTAACCGAGTTCAACAAGCCTCGAGAAAGCCTGACTGCATTTTTGAAACAGGTTTTGGCTGACGTGTAGGCTTTCCACGAGGCCTTGGTCTATCTTAGTACGTCTATGTAGTCTATGGCTCGCTTTCAAATTGATTAAAAATGGCATAGGAACGGGCTCGTGGACGCGGAGATTGTGCATGATCGTTTTACGGTCTACAACTTCGACGACTACAGACCCAAATTGTTCCAGGTATCACATCAATCCAGTTTCTACACTTCATTTACCCACATCTTTGGAAAAAGACTGGGCGACAAACAAGCTATTTACTCCCTTTGAACCTCCAAGACTCAGTACGAAATTTCTTCAGTCAAATAGTAACGAGCTGCTCTGGTGGTGGCGCCTCGGAGGTGTCAGTTCTCGCTCGGCCTGCCTTAGTTTCTGCGATAGGCCTGTTGGTATCCACCATCTCTCGTTGTATCTTGATAGGCCGAAAATCATTCCTGGAAAGAAGGAAGTTGATGATGTCGTGAGCCGAACTTGTCTTATTGGCTCGATGCAGGGTGGATCCATGCTCAATCATGTCCTTCCATATATCATCTTTCAGCTCTTCTTCGCGCCTTTCCCCATCTTCTGGATTCACTTTATCCCACATCGTCGTAGCGAGAACGACTTTCTTCATCGCTGACTGGCCGCACAGTTTCTCGAAGAGATTGAAACTTTTGCCGGATGAACGTTCCCAGCGAGTGTGACTGATGTCGTAGAGGTATACAATTCCGGCGAGTTTCATGTTAGCCTCGTAACTGGACTAGACCGTGAGTTTCCCAGATTCGAACAAAAATTACTGTTATTTACGATCGAGCTAGCCAGATAGCAATCCGCCTGAGGATTTCCCGATCGCTGACCATCGTGTCGTCGAACCCTGGTGTATCAACTATCACGATCCGGGTTTGTGGTGAGAGGGGGTTCTGTAGTTGATATGCTTGAACCTGGACGGTCTGAGATTTCAGGCTGTGGCCAGCAACCGCCATATTTTTTCCGAAAAGGTTATTGATGAACTGGGAAAGCAAGCTTGTTATTCATTTTCTGTTCAGCGCAATAGATCCGGTAAAGTTGCCTACCGTGCTCTTTCCAGATCCAGTCGCTCCCATGATTCTGTCAAGGTCTGTTAACACTTCTCACAAAAAGTTTATGGAGCAGGATGCGTACGCGATGACATGATCTGTATTCTTGGGATCTGCCAAAAATATGTCCTCTTGCTTGACTTCTTTCCTCCACGCCCCTTGGGGCCTATTTCGCGCCGAATGTATCGCTCCCATTATAATTTCTGTTCAGGTTGAGCGAGCAAGAACGAGCAGTGGTGTGGGATATAGTTCTGAGGAAGCCCGAGTCGTTATGGTGAAGGACTCCGTTGTGTTGAAGGAACGTGTGGCATGCCTCGTGTGAAGACACGAGGAGAAGGATTATTCCATCGAACTCCTCATCACTGATACTCCACAGATCCTTGGAGAACGTGGCTCCAACGTTGTACGAAACAGGGGTTTCTCAGCTGTGTGTCACACATAGTTGTGGCGTAGGCTGTGGCATCTATAACGCGCATGCATTGAGACTGCGAGCCAATTACGCTGCGCCTATTCTCGAACCAGCTGCGGAATAAGCACTGCAGATCAGGGCGTACGAAAGGAAGGAAACTAGTAGTACAACAACAAGTAGAAGTATAGTACACCGGGTATTCACACTTTGGTTCAAAGCCTAAAAGCCTGTTATGTCGTTCCCGAATGCCCTGATGCAGCGAACGTCAAGACAGAGAGCCTCAGAAAAGATGGAATGACTAACTCAGCGTGTGAACAGCAGTTGAACTTTACGAGTGAGAGGAACCTTGAGGGCATTGATTTGTCGTAAAATATCCAGGATCTTGTCATTCGTCTCAAGTACGTCTTTGATGAGTTCGGGGTCGGATCCAGGATTAGCTCGGGCCATCGACCTGAGCTTCGACGCCTTGTCTTCATACTTTCTCAGTGAGTCCTTCAACATTTGCGACAGGTGGCGCCCAGCTTCGGTCTCCTGCAAAGTTTTGTTGATCTCGACGAGTTCCCGCTGTATCTGAAGCGGATAATAGGCTTCTTTGGCAAGAAGGTAGTCGACCGTGTCCTGTGCGGACGCCTGATCGCCGCTGATGCCCGCTCGATGGATGACTGAACCATCAGCTAGCATCTTGTCCCAGTATTCGCTTCTGAGTTCCCTTTCCCGCATCTCCCCCTCGTCTGGCTTCACCTTGTCCCACATTGTTGTGACCAGAACGACCTTTCGGCTCGCCACTGGCCCGCATAACTTTTCAAACACCTCAAAGTTTCGTCGCATTGAACCCTCCCATCTTGTGTGACTGATGTCATATAGATAGATAATTCCAGCAAGCTTCATGTTTGCTTGATATCTCGAGTGTGGTGTCAAGATGTGTACAATAGTCGTGAAATATAAACCAAAAGCTCACGAATGGGCCAGCCAAACACTGATACGGCTTAGGATCTCTCGATCGCTCAGGTATGTGTCGTCAAAACCAGGAGTGTCGACGATTACGATGCGGTTATTCGGAAATTCGGGGTCAGCCAGCGGGTAGGCTTGGACAAGTGATGTATGGGATTTGAGGCCATGGCTGACAGATGCTAGATTCTCTTGGCCAAAGAGGGTGTTGATGAACTAGATATGTCGCATTAGTGTAAATATTTGTGTTGCAGGTTGGCGAGACGCTGAACTGTGCTCTTCCCGGACCCGGTGGCTCCCATAACCCTGTGAGA